CCCCCCCCCCCCCCCCCCCCACCCCCCCCCCCCCCCCCCACCCCCTCACGGAGGGGGCCCTTCCCCCCCCCGCCCCCCCCCCCCCCCCCCCCCCCCCAAAAAAAAAAAGAAAGAAAAAAACAGCAACCCATCTTTGTCTCTTTGTTCTGTTTACAGCGGCTCAAAGTGAGTTCCTGGAAGAAAGCTCCATCAAAGCCATTAGGCACAGGAACATCTCCTCCCTGCGGGGTAGGCTGCGGAGAAAAGAGCCCCCTCCCCGCAGATCTATGCAGCTGAAGGGGCTGCTAGGACAGGGGAGGGCACCTCTGTATTGAGGGAAAGGAGGACAAGTGGGTGCCAGCATTGCCCCCCACCTCAATTTGGGAAAGCTCCCGAGTCTCCAGCCCTGCTCCTTGGGAAGGGAGGCAGGATAACAGTGCTGCTGCCCCTCTGTACCTTCCAACCTGGGGGATATCCACTCCCCCACCCTGGGGGATATCCCACCAACTCATCCCAAAGCACAGTCCCCAAAAGGCTCTCCCCCTTAACACCCCTACCCAGCAACACAGCTACAAGTACCGGGCATTTTTCCCAAGGTTTTTCTAAAGTTAAACATTCCCGTGGGCACAGAGCTCTGCCCTTCTACTGGCAACACAGCCTGAGCCCCACATTCCCCCCAGCAGGTAATGGCCACCCAGCTGGCCGCCAATCCCAAGTCACTGAGAGCAGACCCAGCTATGCCACAGTGCAGACAACCCCCCAGCCCCAAGCCCCCACATGCATGGGATTCACTACTCTGCAGCCGTCCACCTCCATTCCACATCTGTTGCCAAAACACTCAGTCTTCAGAGCAGTGGGATCTGCAGGAATGGGAAAATGCCAGCCCCTATAGGCCACATTGGGGGCCAAGGCTCTCCTGGTGTCACCTTCCTGTGCTGGTAGCAGTAGCACCGCACAGAACAGTGGCAGTCCAGCATGCCCACAGAGGTGAAGTTGGAGCCCACGGCCACCATGGCCAACATGGTGGCATGAATGGGGAGCACTGGCCCTGTGGGAAGAGGCAAGGGGGAGGATAAGGGGCACAGGGGACACACATCCCCGGGGGGGGTACCCTGCATTCATCTGAGTCCCTCTGGCTGCCACACAGCACCAGGGCCGTGGAGCAGCTTTGGGAGGCTGTAGGGATCTGTGGGATGGTGGGCAGCATTGAGAGTAGCTTCAGGCTGAGGCTGGCTTCCCCCTGCAGCCCTGCAAGGAGACGCCACCCATTCATCCCTCCGTCCCCACAACCCCAGCTCTTAACCACACCGCTGTCCCACTGGCACCAGCCGCTGCAGCCCCCCAGGGAGTGCTGCAGCAGGAGCAGTCAGCACCATCTGGAGAAAGCCATGTAGTGGTCACATGGAGATATTAGCAGGCCCCACTGCCAGCAGTCCCCACCACCTGTAGGAGACAGCAGAGGAAGACCTACATGGACAGGTATCCTGCTGAAAGTGCTTCCTGGGGCAAGGCATGGGCACAGACCATGAGAACAGTGCCAGGCACCAGACTTGTTGGTCAGGTTCTGGCTGGTCTCAGTGCCAAGGAAGAGGGCCTTGCTATACCACAACCCCATTGGTCAGCGAGCACCACCCCTGGGTGCTAAGGCCAGGCACGCAGATAAGCCCCCAGGAGCAGAAGGTCAGCGCAGCACTGCTGGAGGCAGCTGAGAGCAGAGAGGATACGGCGTCAGAGGGGCACCGCTGGCACGGAGGTTCTGAGGATGCTTGGCGTGGCTCTCAGCGTTGCGGTGCTGCTGGCACTTGCAGGTTGTGGGGCGGAAGGCTTGGTCCCCCAGGACTGCAGTGAGTAACACGGGGATATCGGGGAGGAGAATGGGTGCAAAGCCCAGTAGGGGACAGACGGGGTGCCCAGCACGTCCCAGCCCACTCCCTCTCACCACAGTCGTCAATGCTGAGGAGCGTGCCCGCATGCTGGGGATACTGCAGCTCTCAGCTATGGACAGTGGACTGCCCAATCCCAGTGTGCTGCTGGCCCTCAACCTGGCTGGGGACAGCAGCAAGGCCCAGCAGGAATTGCTCGAGCGGATCAAGGAGACAGCAGTGAAGCAAGCAAATGGTAGGAGGGTGCCCCAGGGGCCATCCCAGAACCCTGTGGCATCAGTGCCTTGGGTTGGCTGTCCATAGTCTGGGGACAGTGGGTTTGGGTCCCAGCTGTTTGCCCCGGCCACTCTCTGTCCCCGCAGACATGTCCTCAGGCCAGGTGGCCCTGTACACGCTGGCCCTGCTCTCTTCCTGCTGTGATCTGAGACATGTGGAGGCACATGGGCAGAGCGTTGACCTGATCAGTATCCTTCAGGAGAAGATGGACGAGGAGGTGGCACACTGGGGTATGGGGCTCAGAGTGGCACATGGCAACACAGGGATGCTGCTTTGGCCTGTGCTGGCTGATGGAACCCTGTACTTCCACAGAGGAGGAAGGCATCCCGCTGAGCACACTGTTCAGTGTGGGGCTGGATGCACAAGCGCTGTGTGTGATGGGAGCAAGTGGCTACCAGAGCGCTGTCACCATCCTGGCCAAGCAGCTGCGGAGTTCCCAGGACAAGCTCTCTGTGGGTAAGAGTCCCCCCACTCCAACAGCACAGTCCAGCTGGCTCTGTCCAAGCCAAGCAGGCTGTGACAGTGTCACTATGCAGACGAGCAGGCCATGATGGCACTGCCACTGGTGTGTGCCTATAACCGGAATGAGCTCCAGAGTATGCAGGACCTGCTGAACTCAACGCTGTCAAAAGTGACCAACGAATTCCTTGAAAATCAGAATAAAGGAAATGGCTTCATTGGGAACATCTACAGCACAGGTCTGGCCATGCAGCTGCTGCTGGCTGCAGGCAAGTTCTATGCCCCGCAGAAGTGGGACTGCACCCAGCCCGTGGCTGCCATCACCGAACACCACCTGCAGCAGCCTATGGCCATTGCTCAGGCACTGCCAGCCCTGGTGGGCAAAACCTACCTGGATTCTGCCAGTCTGGACTGCAGCTCTGAAGCATCCAAAACGACTAGCCTGCAGCTGGACCCAAACCCGAGCCAGGGCATGGAAGCTCAGGAAGGTATTGGCTGCCTCCATCCCCACGGGGCCACCACCCTGCTCTCCTTATAGTTTGTAATGGATTACTCCAATTGGGTATGCACCTTATGGGGCTGGAAGAGTCCAGACTGGGAAGGTGTGGTTGCTGTCACATTATACTCTCATGTCCATGCTGATGGATGTGGATTTTGGTATGTCATTAGCCCTTAATGAGACTAAAGGTCCCTTGCAGGAAACATTACCTTTCCATTTTGTTGACACCAGCCATTGCCACATACTTGACCTACCTCTGGTCACGTTGTCACATTTCCGTTTGTTCTTTGCATATTTGCCATCATTTATTTCTGCTTACTTCCTTGTTGGACAACAATTTCCCCTTTGAGACAATGAACTCACAGCTCCTGTCGTATTTTCTCAGTGGGATCCACCATCACAGTGAAGTACACCATCACCAACAACTTGGTTGGACAGTTCTTCACCTATACCACCACAGTGGATGTCCCACATGGCTCCGTGCTCCTGGTCGTGCTGGAGCAGGCAGAGAAGTCCGACAAAACCATCTTTGGGTGAGTAGTGGGGGGCGTAATAGGGTCGGTGTCACCACCTGGGCCCCAACCCACTGCTCGTCAGACCGCAGTCCCACCACCCATCTGCCCCACAGCTTTAAGACAGAACCAACATCCTGGGGCCCAATGGTGGTGTCCATCCACGGGCTGGCTGCCAGTGAGACTGAGAGGACCTACTGGCAGTTCTTAAGTGGCAGTGACGCGCTGCAGGAAGGTGGGCAGTGCTGGGGGGCTGGCAGGGGCTGTGGTGGGGAGCCACAGCCTCACGCCCATTCCCCACTGCAGGGGTTGGCACATACGAGCCGCACGACGGGGAGCACATCCAGGCTGTCTTCAGCACCTACTGATGGTACCGGGGGAGAAACAGCCCTGCTGGGCCCTACAACGTGGCAATAAAGAGTCATTTGCAGAACGTCCTTCTTTGCGCGCTCCCACAGCCCCCTGAATAACACAGCTACACTGTGGTTCTGTGGTCTTTGAGGTCCCTCCCAACACAACTGTTCTGCTGCTATGTGATCCTTGTGGGTCCCTCCCAACTTGCGACATTTTGTGTTCCGTGTTCCTACATACGGCCTGGGAGCGGCCTGGGCAGCACGGGGTGAAGGAGGGCGGGCTGAGGCTTCTGCCCGGCAGAGAGGCCCTGGAGAGCCGGAACCCGCATTCCCTTCCCCTCGGCCGAGGGGGAAAAGGAGCTGTGTGACCGGAAGTGCTTCCCGCCGGGCGGCTGATGGGACGGACCCGATGGCGGCGCCCGGCAGGCACTTCCGGCCATGGGGTGGTGGCGGCTGGGGCGGGCCGTGGCGGCCTGCGGAGGCCGGGGGGGGCCCGGGAGGGACCCGAGGGAGACTATGGGGTAGGCAGGAGGGGTCTGTAGGGCGGGGAAGGGGGTCAGGTGTGCGGGGCGCTGCCCGGGGCGGCCTTCCTGGTGCCCCCGGCCCGGCCCGGCCCTGAGTGCTCACTGTACCCTTAGGCCTCGGCGGCAGCGCCGTCCCCCGGGCAGGCCTTAAGAAGTTCGTGCTGCCCCCTGACTACAGTGGTAAGTGCGGGACCCCGCGTCTGGCGGTGGTGCCTGAGGGAGTTGTCTGTTCCCTCCCCACCCACCTCTGCGATGATCCTCCCGTTTCCCCTCCCTGCAGGCATCACGCTCCCGGAGAGGCCGAAGCTGAAATTCATGGAGAAGGTGCCGGCAGTGCCGAAGGCCAGACGGGAACCACGGCAGCTGCGGGACATTCGCGGGCCTTCCCAGGTGGCCACTGATTTCACACAGGGGCAGTACGGCATCCTGGTGAGCACTGGGCTGTGGTGGGTTGCACCAGGCTTAGAGCACCTCTGGTGCCCAGCAGTCAGCCCTTGCCATCGTCCCACAGGCGCTGGGGGGTGGCTACCTGCACTGGGGGCACCTGGAGATGATCCGCTTGACCATCGGGCGCTGCATGGACCCCAAGAACATGTTTGCCATCTGGCGCGTGCCAGCTCCCTACAAACCACTGACAAAGAAGAGCCTCGGACACCGCATGGGGGGTGGCAAAGGCCCCATCGACCGCTACGTGACCGCAGTGAAGAGCGGACAGCTCGTGGTGGAGCTTGGTGGGCGCTGCGAGTTTGAGGAGGTGAAACCCTTCCTCACACAGGTGGCCAACAAGCTGCCCTTCCTTGCTGTTGCTGTCAGCCGGCAGAGCCTGCAGCAGATGCGGCAAGAGGAGGAGGAGAAGAGGCGCAACAACCAGAACCCCTGGACCTTTGAGCGTGTCATCACCGCCAACATGCTGGGCATGCGAAGGTACCTCAGCCCTTACGACCTGAAGCTGAAGGGACGCTACTGGGGGAAATTCTTCCTCAAGCACAGGGTGTAGCCCGCAGGCAGGGATGAAGCCACCAGAATAAAGCCTTCTGTGAAAGCATTGAATTGTAGAATCTTTGATGTTGGAAAAGACCTCTAAAATCATTGAGTCCATCTGTCCGCTTACCACCAAGAAATGTTTAGATGTGGCACTGGGGGACCTGCTTGAGTGGAGAAATATTGGTGTAGGTGGACTGTTGGGCTCAGTGATCTTGGAGTTTTCTTCCAGCCTTGGTGAATCTGTGATTCAGTATTGCCCACTATGTCATGATCACATGCCACATATCTACGTTTCTTCAACACCTCCAGGGATGGTGACTCCACCCACCCCCCTGGGCATCCCGTTCCAATGTCTAACCATTCTTTTAGAAAAGAGGTTTTTCCTAATATTCAGCCTTACCCTCCCCTGGCACAGCTTGAGGTCATTGCCTCTCATCCTTTCACTCCTTATGTGGTAGGAGGCCAACTTTACCTCACTATAACCTCATTTCAGGGAGTGGCAGAGAACAATAATACTTTTCCAGCTTCCTCTTCTCCAGACTGAACAATCCCAGCTCCCTCAGCCACTCCACATAAGACCTGTGCTCCGGACCCCTCACCAGCTTCATTACCTTCCTTTGGGTGCGATTACTGTGGGTTGTGGAGGCCCAGATGTGGGGATGGGATGCGGAGGTGAGTGACACGACTCCCTGACACAGCACCATGGGGTGGAGTGTGAGTCATCTCTTTATTGGGGAGGAGGGCTGTGGTGCAGGTGTCGGCACATCTGGAGAGCAGCTCCGTGGAGGAATGGCTGCACGCGAGCTCTGAGTGAGGGGTGAGCTGCTTTCACCACCGGGCAAGGCAGAGCCCTGGCTGTGGCTGGCTCCATGCTGGTGAGTAGGGAGCTGTGGGACCCTGGTGTGAGGGCAGCGGGTGAGAGGGGACCTCGGGGTGACGTCCTCAAGGCTTGGCAGGTGGGTCCCAGGGCCACGGGCAGGATCACCGAACAGGATGGGGAAAGGCCACCTGTAAGTGGGAAGCATCAGAGGCGGCTGGCACTGCTACCCCATCTGTGAGTGAGTGCTGCTGGCCCGAACCCCATGGGCACCCTATCACCTGTGGGGAGTGGCTGGGATGTCAGGCGAAGATGCTACCGATGCTGGCAGCCAGGATGATGACAAGGATAATGCAGCAAATCATGATCATGATCTTCTTCTGCACGGGAGAGAGGGACCGTGAGGCTGGGACATGGGCAGGGCAGGGAAGGGGAACAAGGGACAAGAAGACAGAGGTTCAGGGGGCGACTCAGAGCAATGTGGGATCCTGTTGGTCCCTCTCACCCTCCTGGCTTCGCTTTGGTACTTGACGGCCTTTTTGGTGTCAGCCACAGCTCGCTCCACGAAGCCGACAGACTGGTCCATGTTGTTTTCTATGCGGTCGATCATGGCTCCCTATGGGGGCAACAAGGAGAGACAAGGGGCACAGCACAACTCCTCGCATTGCATGGGGCACTGGGGGTGCTCAGAGGGGATGGGGAGGAAACCCTCCCGGGGGTTCGGTGCCATGGCTCTGTGGTGCTCCATGGCCAGGTCCCAGCCCCCGGGGTCCCTCCTTGTTCCCCTGCTGTCCCATGCATGAGTCCCGGTCCATCTCTATCCTGTCCCTACTTGTCCCTATGCTGTCCTATGTCCAGACCCCTATTTGTTCCCTCCCTTCCCCTGCCTCAGTCCCTATGTCTCCCCTGCCCCATGCTGGCTCGCAGCTCGCCCCGCAGCCATGCCTGGTTCTCCACCAGCATGGCGATGTCGACAAACATGTCGTGCAGCTCCTTGATGCTGCTCTCCAGCCGCACAATGTCCTTATGCCGCCCCTCGATTTCACTCAGTGCCTGCTTTGAGATCTGCGAGTCCACGATCTGCAGGGGAGACGAGGCAAGAGGTGTCAGGGCAGCAGCTCCAGACCCCCAACCCCTGGCCCCATGGGGCTCACCCCTGAGGTGAAGATGGCGGGGTTCCCGCTCTCCAGCATCTCCTCCAGCTCCTCATCGGTCGTGTTCTTGCCAGCTGTGGGGAGTCAGTGCTGCCACAGGCTCTGCCCACCCCACTGAATGAGTGGGGCATAAGGTGGGGAAGGGGACACGCACTGATCTCTAGCTGCCGCTGGATCCGGCCTTTGCTGCGCTCCCGGAAGTCAACCTGCGCCTCATTGTACTTGGTCATCACATCAACGAACTTGCGGGACAGGACTGAGTGCTGGGGAAGGGGACATTGGGAACACGCTGAGCATGGCGTAGCTCAGCCCCAGGGGCTGGATTGAGTGCTGGATTTGGGCATGGGGACAGTGAGAAGTGGACATTGGGATGGGACGCCCCAGGCATGGCATGTTCCAGCTTCCAGAACCAAGTACTGGGGATATAAACATTGGGCTGGGGTCACCCGAGGTGTGGTGTGTCCCAGTCCTAGAGGACAGGACTGAGTGCAGGGGGCAGAGATGTTGGGATGGGGTTACCGTGATGTGTCCCACCACAGGATACATGACTGCGGAGGAGACAGGGACAGAGATATTGGGATGGTGACATTGGGTTGGGAACGTCGAGTATGGCATGTTCCAGCTCCTGGTATTATGATCAAGCTCTGGAGTTATGTATGAGAGACACTGGGATATGGACACCCCAGTGTCCCAGCCCCGGGGGACAGGATTGAGTGCTGGGAATGGGAACATTCTGATGTGCCTGACCACAGGATACGTGACTGAGTGCTATGACAGAGACAGAGACATTGGGATGGCAACACTGGAAAGCAGATATCTCAGGCATGGCATGTTCCAGCTCCCAGGGACAGGGCCAACAACTGGGGATGGGGATACAGGGATGGGGACATTGGCATGATGATAACCTGAGCATGTTGTGTTCCAGCCCATGGGGTTAGGATCAAGTGCTGGGGTTGGGGATGGGGAGATTGGGCTGGAGACACCTCAGGCATGGTAAGCCTCAGCCCTATAGGATAGGACTGAGTGCTGGGGATGGGGACACTGGGACAGGGACATTGGGATGGGAACACTGCAGGCATGTCATGTACCAGAACGTGAGGACAGGACCAAGCGCTAGAGTTGTGAATGGGGAAACCCCAAGCACAGTGTGTCCCACATCAGGGTACACGACTGAGCGCTAAGGATGGCAACAGGGATACGGGAACAGGGACACCATAGGTAAAGCATGCCTCAGCCCCAGGGGACAAACCCGAGTGTGGGAGCAGCTGTGATGCATTCCACCCCCGGGAGGGGATGGCAGGGTGCAGTCACCTCACCTGGGACTTGCGTATGCGCAGGTCAGCAGAGGAGCGGGCCTCATCCTGCTCTATGTTCCTCTCCATGCCTGCCAGCAGTGAGAACCCCACCTGTCAGGTGCATTTCCCCCCCCACCACGGTGACCCCAGGGCCGGGGACACAGCCACTCACTCTTCAGCTTGTTGCGCACGCTGTTGGCCGTCTTCTTGATGTCAGCTGTGAGCTGCTCCAATTCATCTTTGGTCTCTGCAGGGGAGGGGATACTGAGATGGGGATGCCATCACAGGTGTGTGTCCAAGGAG